TCGCCTTCACCTGGGGGGCCCGTCGGGCTGAGGGGCCTCCCCCGTCCGACTCCGGGGGGCCTGCTCTTGGGGAGGCCCTGCTGTGGCCCCTATGTGACCGCTGTAGGCCTCCTTAGCGCTTTTCTAGTCATCGTGCAAACGATCTAACGTGTTTAGCCGCTTTTATTTTTTTTTCTCGGTAGGAAAAATTGAAGGGAAGTAGCCTGTCTGGAGGCTATCTTAGTTTAGTCTCTCCTCAGCCGCACCCCCGTCCAGTTGTTGGTGGGAGTTTAAACAGTTCGTGTTGGTTGTGTCTCTGTTGTTGGAGGTTGAAGGCGAGGCTGATGATGCGGGATAGCTTTCTCCCTTTACGTTTTGTTTGAGATGAGTAATTAGTAACAATGCTGGAGCTCTGATTAAACAAAAGGTCTAGTGAAGAGGATGGTTAGGGGAAGAAGATGGGTCATTTAATCATTAGGAGGTACTGTAATGCACAGTTGATTCTTCGTTTCTGATTAACTCGAAACAGTGTACGAGCTCCCTGGCCTTGACCCTATTTTACATAATGGGTCAGAAAACAAAATAGCGGTGCCAAGAAAGTTTTAGTTTTGCAAAAGTAAAATGCTAAGTTAAATTTCATACCTACATAGAAGTTTGATATACATGTAAACTCACTTTTTCTCCCACTTGGATCCTTTAACTAAAAGTAAAGGATTTGATACAGTGAGTTGTAAAAGCCAGGGACTCTAATCAGGTCAGATGAACTATGAACTCTAGTTTTAGTCTCTAGCTTTGAAAAAAATAGTCCTTTGATAGTATAGTGCTTATTTATGATCTGTAAACAAATTTGTGGCTTACCTTTCTCAGGCTCTTTTTTTTTTTTTTTTTTTGATTATTAATGGAATTAAGGCACAAATGAATTGAGGAAAAAATTCTGTATGCACTGGGAAAACAATGCATCCTTTGGAAGAGAGAACAGGCTACTTTTGAATTTTTTTGGTGACAAATTGAGCCAAACTCTACAGAACAATTTTATTCCATTGCAAATATGGTGCTGAATTCTTTACTTATCCCTAGGGTTATTATTATTTAGTTGTGGTAGGGGAGGCAGTAAGCCCCCTGGATTCCTACCCAGTGAAGAGTGAAAGAGAGTACTTTCTGAAATAATTCCATAGGAAGGTTTTATATATAGTTGCATATTTCCCTATATAAAATATTTTTTGTGGGACTATATTTTTAAACAGTTTGTTTCCCTAAGTACAATACTGTATAAAAATATTTCCACTTTAAAATAAAGCTTGGTTAATGTTAGGAGAAGAGGTTTTTCTTTCATCTTCTGTGTGTCCTACCTGTCCTTGTGAAAAATTTAAAACATACAAATGTTTTTGATGATAACTTTTACACCTCTTAGGTTGACATTATTTGCTGTTTTGTGGCTTATGGCAAAATTTGTTACAGTAATAAGCATGATCAGGAAATGTTAATTTCTTACTGTTGTTCAGTAAAGTTATGAGCAATTCCAATAATACAGCAGTTCACCAAAAAAGAAACATTATTTGAGTTACATTTGCAAGCATACCTTTGCAACTAGAGTTAGGAAATTTAACTCCTTAAAATAAAACAACTTCATCTATAGAAACTGAGCTTTAACTGAGCTTGTTGAATATAACCTACATAGCTAGCATTTCTTCTCAAAACCTGTTTTGAAAGATGTTTAGCTCAATGGGAATATTTGGTGCTTTGTTATTAATTTTATGTATTAAAGTTGAGTGTTTGCTTCTGTCTTTTGCACTGCTTGATTTTGCTCATTTTTACACTGAATCTTTCTGGAAGATGCAAATAAACTGAAATACTGCTGCTCTGAAAACTTGAATGCTCTTCAGATTAATCCAATATATAATCTGAACCTGAAATTAAAACCTTGCAACTGCAAAAATATGCACACTTTAGATTATAATCTCTTTGAAACAAGAATGCTGTCGTTTCCTTGGTGCGTACAAAGCACCTAGCATAATGGTATTCTGACTTTAAGTGTCTAGCTTTCACAGTGTGAGCAGCAACTTTTTATTAAATTATAAGAAGGGGAATTCAGGTAAACATGAGGACAATGTGTAAGGATAGCTATGTGCTGACAGGTTCTGAAA